CATTCTGTGTTTAGTTCAAAACCAAGTGTGTGGATAATATTTTTAGAACAGAATCATTATTCTAGATCTAGATTTTTCTCTACACTCTCAATCATGCTATTTGTCCAGATAAAAATCTCCTTATTTTAGGCAGTGTCTTGTGTAAGAATTGTCTTTTTCTGCATAGGTAAAAAGCTCTTTGTAGTAAATTTTCAGTTAACACTTGCCTTTTTTAAAGATGGAGCAGTTTAATTCCACACAATACAAGCACAGCTCCTCCATTTGAGCACCCCAACACTCTGGTTTTGATTGCATCTTCGATGCACTTGTCCCTCATTTTAACCAAAGAGGTGCAGGAAGGTCGAGCTAATGCTTGCTCTGATGACAAATGTGAACAATTTACTTTTCCCCATATTGTCTTGGTACCTAAGTACTAGAAGGCTGGTCTGGTCTTAGAAGTATGAAGATGTATATTCTGTGTCCGTTGTCCACTGAAGTGTTGTTCTTTAGCTTCCTTGGGGTATCCAGGCCTCCCAGAAGTAGAACAGACCTGCTGTGTGGGAGGCCAGGGTCTTCTTGGGTCTGGGACAGCCCTTTTTCCATTGCTGTAACCAGGAATCCTCCCCAGCTGTCTGCTGGGAAAAGGTCCTGAAAGCCCAGGGGACTTACTTGAGCTTGTCCATGCTGGTTCCTTACTGGTGTCCAGGATGGTCATGTGAAATTTAGCAGGTTCTACCTTTGAACTGAATGTGAGGGAAAAGCTTTTGGAAGATGATAATTTCTTGTGAGGTTTCACGGCCTTGTGAATATAAACATACTGAACTTTGCTTTGTGTTTAGCTGATAAGTTACCATAAGTTAACAATATGACGCTGTTCCAAAAAAGACAAATACCATGCTGAGATGTACAAACAGGGCTGTAGCCTGCAAGACACACAAAGTAATTCTACTACTTTGCTCAGTAATTGTAAGGGCCAAACAAGGACACTGTGTCCATTTCTGGGCACTGGTCTGCACTAAATGTGGAGACATACTGGAGAGAGGCCAGAGGAATGAAACAAGAATAATCTGAGCTCAGGAAAGCATCTTTACTTTAAAAAAAAAAAACGTTATTTTAATTTGCTTGGTTTAAAACAAAGAGTAAAAGGGGAGGTGAATCAAATCCCAAATAAGGTGATTATGAGCAGGGATGCACTGGCCTTCATGTGGTACATGGGAGAAGAAGACTGGCTTAAGCTGTAACAAAAACCACTAAAGTTAGATGTGAGAAAATATTTTCTTTGGTAAGAGCAGATAAGCATTGAAGAAGGCTGCCCTGAGTGTCTAATTGGTTTTCTTCCTGACAAGGTTTTAGAGCAAATGTGCCTGGAACTGCACTACTATTGCTGAGACCTTCTTGGGCTAAGGGGAAGCTTCATGGTCCCTTGAGATCCTTCCCACGCCAGCTCTTAGATGGATCTGAGCAGCTGCTGTTGAGAACTGTGGTTAGTTACTGTATGATTAATATTTACTTCCTAAGTAATGTGTGCCATGAGTGTGCCATTCAGCTTCCTTTCATCCAAAAAAGCAAAGATTTATTGAACATTTCTGGTTTTTTTGCCTGATTTAGTCTGACAACTAAAACTTTAATTCAACTGACTAAATGGTACTGATTTCTGCAAGCTTTTCAAATACCCACAGCTGTACCTGGGTACCAACCCTTCCCACCTCAGCTACTGTTCCTGCCATGGCAATGGTTGCCTGATAGCTCATCCTGTTCCTGGAACCAGTTCAAATTCCTCCATGGAAGCTTAGAAGCTCTCTTCCAAGACAGTACCAGGCCATGTCTAAAAAACAAAACCAAAAAACCCCAAAAAACAAAACAAAAAAAAAACAAAACCAAAACCAAAACAAAAACAACAACAACAAAACCACAAAAGCAAAAACAAAAACAAAACAAACAGACAAAAAAAAAACACACACAAAAAAAAAAAAAGAGAGAGAAAATTAGTATTTATTTTTTATATTTTTCTTGCAAAAGTAATCTTATGGAATTTTATTGGCTGAATACATGTACAGGGAAAAGCTGTTCTGCATTGAAGAGCTTATAATCAAAGAATTTATGTGCTAATACTAAATAATGTTTTACGTGTAAAAACGTTTGCAAAGGGAAAAAATAGCAATGGATTCCATCTTAATTCAGTTGTTTGTTAATTTAATCTTTTTTTGAATCTATTAGCTGAAAACTGTAGGACAACATTAATTTGTTCTCTTAGTAGTACAATTCCCATTGTAGTAGTACAGTAGTATGCTAAGTTTTATGTCTGGAAGCATACATCAGGTAATTAAATCATTGGCTGTGTAATGCTATCCTTCAATAAGGAAGAGGCTCATAATCTTAATCTAATTAAAGAAAAGAGAACTGAAGGAAAATTTGCCACATCAGAAATTGATACTAGAGGATATTGTCTCGGACACTGGCAGCAAGCTCACAGCTGTTCATTGGGAAATTGGTATCTTCAAATATTTTCATCTTCAGGTGTGCAGGGCACTTGAAAGCAGCTATGAGTCCTCTGTCTCCCATGAAATGAGTTTGGTTTTCCAGCTATAGCTGAAATTTAGGTATGGAGAGTTGTAAATTTGGACACTGAGATTTATGAGGAGCTGAGCATACACTTAGTTTTGCTTTTCCATGCCAGCTCATCTTTGGACATTTATCCTTCAGTTTGCTGCCTCAGGGTGTGCTTTATATATATACAGCCCATCTTGTTCCCAGACATCACCTCTGATGTTACTTCAGTTCTGTGTCCTGTCCCTGAGAACTGCTAGTTCCAAATTATTCAGGGGGATACCAACTAATGCCCTATACCATGAATGAATAATTTTGTTGTCATTGTCATGCTCTTGAATGACAACTTGGACTACTAAGTGATGTAAATGCTGTTTTAAAATTTACTGTATTTTACCAGTTTGGATGTTTTGACTTTGTCTACTGTGAGAAAAGAAAAATAAGAATGAGAATTTACTTTTTCTACATTCCATACTTCAGCCATGTACTATCTTGTGAAGAGTTCCTCAGTATTCCTAAATACTCAGTAGCATCAACCCAAACTCTGCCACAGCAACCTAGAAAACTAAATTATATTGTCTGTCTGCTGCTGATGGAAACAGTTTCCTTTTTCATAAGCGAATAACCCCAAAGGCAAAGGAAAGCCTTACTAAAGTAAAAGCAGAAAAATTGAGTAGTAAATCAGCAGGCTGTGGTCTTCCCACAGCGGATGGAGAAGTCACTGACCCCATCCCACCTTGGCTGAGTCCCACACATGGTTCGTTGCCCAGACTCCGGGGATGCCATCCCTGCAGCTATCTGAGCATGCAGTCCCCCAGGTCCCTGCCATCCTGGAGGGAGCTGGGGGAGGGGGTGAGCTGAGCTAAGGAGCATTCCTCAGACCATCCCACGGTCTTTGCAGTGTCTCCTCAGGAGTTACTTGCCCTGTTTCAGACGTCTCACCTCCAAGTGCTGGCCCTGCCTGTGCTGGTTCTCACCTCAGGACACTGCATCAGCACTTCACTAGTGTTTGTATCTTTCCTGAAACCACATGTGATGGGAGGAAGATGACATTTCTCTAACTGAAATATGGAAAAGTGTTTTGTTCTTTATTCTGTTGGGCACTGAAGAAGCCAAAACCACCATCCATCTGCCAGAAAAGATCAAAACCCAAACACTTAATGACACTCACTCGTTGCATTGCTCTCTTAATCCTGGTTTCTGGTTAAAATTCTATCATCCAGCTGTCAAAGGGCTGCATGCCAATACCTAGCCATATCTATTAGCCAAAGATTTGATTGCCCTCGCCAATAAAAATTGTTCAAGCCAGGGCCAAAGAATAGTTTAGAGTGGACCCACCACAGGGAATTGCAGTGCAGTGAACACAGAGGCATGAGAGCAAAGGGAGGTTTGTCTCTCTTCTCTCATTGACTGTTGCATCCGAACCTTCACTGTAATGAAAATGTATTAAATAGTTCCCCATGCTTGGTGGTCATAGAGCATGCATGATCATCCAGACTGGCTACCAGAAGAAGCCTCACAATCAGTTTTTCCCTGCAGCAGCTCTTTTTTTGACCTAGGTGAAGATCAAATCCATACAGCTGCATTTAGTGCTAATAAGTCAGCCTCATATAAAAGGTTCTCAGCAGTCAAAAACTTTTGATTACTTGCTTCAGAAATTAATTGTCCTCAGGATTAGCAATATATGCCTTGCTTCTACTCTAAATTTGACTAACTTCAGATTCTTACTACTGGTCCCTGTTTCAAATAGGCTGAAGAGATGTTAATTGTGAATTTTCTGAGCTATCTCCTCTCCTGCAGCCATAGCCATTTTCAAAATTAAGTTAGTTCTTCACTTGGGAGGCCTGTAGACATGCTGCAGGGAAAATGTATTGAGCATGGAGAAAGTGCAGTGTTTTTCATCCCCAGGAACCAGGCTTCAAAGGCTGTTATAGCTAAGCTTTCAATGGCATGATTGCTGAACCTTTCAAGCCTTCATGATTCATTATGGAAAAGTACCTTGGTTTCAAACGCTTCCCTGGAATTAATTCTCTGATGGATCAACACCAAAAGATTATTATGGTTATTTGCTTAAGAGAAAGGTTTGATTCTTACTCTGTTTGATGCTTCCTTATTCCTCACTTGCCCACACACATCTCACAGTGTGCTCTGTTCATGGGCACCAATCAGATCACAGGTTTTACAGCATCTGCTAGCATCAGAGTCACGCAGAACCATAGGAAGATTAACCCATCCATCCTAGGTATGTGGCAGAGACTCAGGCCTCCGACATTGTTTGAGCAGGTGTGGCTGTGTCACCAGAGTGCCTGGATGATTTTGCCAAGGTTGTGATAAGCCTCAGGTGGGTTGTTGAGTGGGGGCAGCTTCAGGGGCGTATTGAGGGCTTGACTTGACAAAGTAGAATCATCATGGCAATGTGGGGTCCTGGTGTATAGCTGGAATCACTTTCAAATCTTTCTCTTACAGTTCTCAGAGATGGGCTCTCCATAATACTTCAGTTATGAAGGAAGAAGGGCAGCTGAATTGGTTTTTTGCAATGGAGAAGACAGAGGGAGAAACACCAGCACTGTCACTCCCACCTTGTTGCTTATCTCCTTGCCAACATGTGCCCCAAATCCTCTCTGTGCTGTATTAAGGAAAGGAAAAGCTTTGACATCTTCTTTCTTACATCACCTTTTCCAATTCTGCATCCTATAACCCTCTGGTGAAAAGAGGAACAATGACTTCATATAGCTGCTGCTTGATTCTTTTTCTGTTTACCTGGAACACTGCTGCCTATGGGCCAAACCAACGGGCACAGAAGAAGGGAGACATTATTCTTGGAGGATTGTTCCCCATTCATTTTGGAGTGGCTGCTAAAGACCAGGATCTAAAATCAAGGCCAGAATCAGTGGAGTGTATAAGGTAAGATGGTAAAAGGGAAAATTAAAAGTTTTGGTGGGGAAATCTTCACATTTCTTAACTTTAAATTGTGTAAATATAATCTGTAATCTGATGCTTCCAATTGGAAGGTATGAAGTAAATAATGGAAAAAACAAGTCTGTATGTAAAACAGTGACATAAATACTATTTGGACACTAAAAGAGAGCAATCTTCGTACTATCTGAAGCTGCCCAAACATTAATATACTGATCTATCTGGCCATTTACAGGGAACATTTGAACAGTATATTGAAAACCAGATTCCCTAGCGGGACAGAGAATTACCAATAGTGCCCTTTAGTTCTTTTGATTAAAGTAATGCATGGTCAAATAGTTTAGAAATCAATTTTTTGTCCAGTTCTACCTGTCATCGTCTAAGACTTTACAAACTGTTCAGTTGCCTGAACAAGTGAATAGGTGATAGGTGACTGAAATAGGTTACGGCTTTTGAAAAATCCCAGTGAATGACACATAAATGTCTCTTTAGGACTTGTAAAAGTCCCAAACTTGACCCCAGGTATTCCTCACCCAGAGTTCTTTTCTCTTTTGTGTAAACAACACATTTGTGTTTTGTCTCGTGTTTGGGAGTTAACCTTGGAGTGAGAAATGCAGATGAAAATAATTTCTCTAATTATTAAAGTGTAGACATTTTTATGATGAAACATGAGGAATTTTTAACATTACAAGTGTTCACATAATACACAGAACAAGTGGAAAGTGTGACAGAAACTGGTTGCAACTGGAACATTATATAAACAAAATAAAAGTGGATTTCTGTCATGACAATGCATGGAAAAACACTTCAGTGTTACAGGACTTCTTCTGTTATCATATGTGAAGAACTGTGTATCTGGAATTATTTGGACCTCTCGTCCTAGACTGGGGAGCTAGTACGGTTTTGTTGCAGATGGCAATGAAGTATGGCTGAGAGCATTCCTGTTACACTCACAGATTTCAGGTGTGGTTTCCCACTGGGACACTGAGCAAGACACGTCCATCTAGGTTATGAGATCATCCCCAGAACCTGTCACTGGGAGCACAAACAAGTGTCAATAAGCAGGGATTATGTTGGCTTCTTCTGTGTGTGCACAGGAAAGTCCTGAACTAAATGTAGATGCAATGTCTATTTCATGGAGCAAGAATCCCTGCCAGCTTTTCAGCACTTTTTTTTCTCTACCAAATGCATAATTTTAAAAGTGGAATACTGGAAAGCAATGGATGTTTTCAGCTCTATTGTCTTCTCCTGCTCCAGCTGGCAGGCAGGCCAATGCAGATATTTGAAAACTTTCATTTCTGTCGACTCTGGGTCAACCTCAGTGACTGTCTTGACATGGTCACATTATTGGAAGAGATGGCTGGAAACTGTTCCTCCCCAAGTACTACAAGTGTGTGGTTGCCAAAAGACATGTTAATGAGGTAGCACTGCCAACAACAGGCAAATCCTGAAAAGCCAGACTAACTGTTTTAAGGACACAATGGGAGATCCTTCTGGATGGCATTCAATCTGCTAAAAGGTATCCTCCAGCTGAAATTCACCTGGATAAAATCCCTGTTCTTCTTACCCTTGCACCAAGAAGATGTAGGTGCAAAAGAGAAAAAAGGTGTCTGCAGAGGCAGGCATTTGTGGCACAGATCCTTCAGTGAGTTGGATAAATTATGAGTTGTTAGTATAACCCAAGTGGAGAAAGAATGAAGGTCAGAGATCTAGCTGCAGAGATAGTAGAAAGTACAAAAGCAACAAGGAGATGATTGGACCAGAAATAACTGGAAGTTGCTTAATTGCACACATCTTTACCAGAAAATGTCCATTTGCAGGAAATGTTTTATTCAAAAGAGGTTGGATTGAGAAGACTTTTTGAGATTAGTCATCAGATTTTAATAACAGAGGTAATAAATACATGGGAATGTTTGTGTGTATTCCTTGTTATTGGTACACATCAATTTGAGAGCAGATATTTTTCCTGAAAGGATTTTCTATTTAAAGCAGTTTTGAAGTCAGAAAATACCTCCTGCTGGAGTTCTACAGAAGTCTCTCAACACAATCATGGTGGTCATTTTTGGTTTTGGACCCTGTGATCAGGCATTAGCCTGTGGCAGGGTTGTGCATGCTGACTCTAGAAGTCCAATACATTCTTCAAGTTGTTTGCTAAAATCTTATATTTTGTGAGTTTCTTAAGTTCCAGACAAGTGACTAGTCTGGAATTGTCAAACTTACATTTATGAGGGCAGGAAAAAAAAGGTTCTAGTTTCTTCACAAAGTAAATCTCCCCAATATTGTCTCAAAAACTTCTGTAAAAGAAGAAAAAAAAACCTTTCCTAATCCATAGATTAGGAAATTGGATAGTAATCCATAGGGAAGCACAAATGTGACTGTACATGGTCAAACCAAAGGTGCTAAATCTGTCTCATGCCTTTACCTGCCCTCATTGCCCTTCTCTGAGCCCTCTTCAGCACTGCTGTATCTTTTCAAAGCTGAGGCTAAAAAGTTTTATACCTGCCCCCTTTTCAAATGGTTGCATACAGCTTTTAATCTCTTTACTATGTAGGAAAATGTGTCTCATATCACATAAGAAAATTAGACCCAGGTCACTCTGGGATAATGATCATCCTCTCTCTCTTCCTTGCAGCAGTGTCCTGGTTTAGGACAAATTTGGGAGGAAACCTCTGAATGAGGTCCCTCCAGGGAAAAAAAAAAAAAAAAAAAAAAGATTCCAAGCAGTCCCTCCCCCAGTCGGCTCGGGGGGAAAAAAGAGAACAAAAAAAAAATTGGAGAGAAGTGGAAAAAAAAAGAAAACTGTTTATTCAACAGGCAACACACCTCCCAGCAGAAAATGAACAATATCAAACAGCAAAACCTCTCGCCATTCCGAGGAGATGACAGATTTAGAAGAGTTCTTTCCCTGGGCAGCCCGGCTCACTCAGGCTGTTCTCAGTCCCTCCTGTGCTGGGCAATGCCCAGGCCCGGGGGGCCACAGGTGTGAGCTCCCGGTGCTCTGCTTGGTTTTTAGTCCAAAGCAGGTTCAAACAGTTCCAGGAAAACAGAAAAAGGGGAAAAAAACAATCCAGGGGGCTTCTCTGCCTCAGCTAGCCAGAAAACCAACCAAGAGCAAAGGAGAGCTGTCACTGTCCACTGCAGACAGCACAGTCTGTGTGCAGGAATGTGGGGGAGCCCGTGCAGTCTCTGATAACAAACTCTGCACGTCTTCTTCTTCCCCCTCTGCCCTTTCACTCCTGGAACCAGTCTTAAAGTTGCAGAATTTAATATTCAACACCAACAGAACAGACGATTTGGGGATTTAGGCATCATACAGTCACCCCAAGACAAGCAGCAAGTCATCAGACCATATGAAAAGCTCCATGACAAGACCTAAGGGTCCCACTGAAACCCTGTGGGTAGTCTGTTTTAGAGTTCAGAATCAAACAACTTAAGATAATGTGGTTTTCCTCTCTTCTGAAGACTGTTCAACCTGATCAGTGCTGTTTGGACATTTAGCTATATTCAGTGCCATACCTATGCTCCCAAACTGGGCTTTCCAATGGACAGGACAGTTGGAGATTCTCAAAATGGATAGGACAGTTTTCTCTTCACTTTCTCAGTTTTTATGTTCTCCATGCTCTTGTGGTTCAGCATCTTTCTCTCCAGCTCAGCAAACATACTGGCCTGAACCTACTGTGCATATCTGGCACATGATTATTTAGAAACTACATATATAACTCAGCAGTGAAAGGAAAAGGGAACAGTAAAATCTGTTCTGTGTTCTTTTTGTGCTGCTGTTACTGAAAATGCTTCCTTGTGCTCTAAACACTGAATTGTAGAGTCTGAAGTGAAAAGTACCCATGATTTTGCTACACTAAATGTCAGATAGGAATACACAAAGTGAGAGCAGTTTTGTTTCCTGTTTTTTGTTTCAGCAATCAAGGATCCTGCATCTGATATAAATACAGCTCCTATCTTTGTATGCCTCAGGTGCTGCTGCAGCAACTTTCCTTACAACATTTGCTGATGCATATCTGATGTGTGCAGTGGAGGCAGAGACTGAGCACAGCACAAGCAAGCCCTGACCCCCATTTCATTCCCTGTCAGCACCCCCAGAGGCCTATTCATAACCTGTTTTCTCTGTCCCTTCCTGATTTCAGAGAGATTAGCAGTTTTCCTATATTCTGATCATGTCTAGCCAAGGTCCCACACTGTGACACAAAGCTTTCAAGCTGTGAAACTGTGGTGAGACATTGTTCCCACATCGTAGTGCGAGACTTCATAGAGCATGGATCCAGGAGTCTTTAGCCCACTGAGTTTCTCTCTCCATCTGAGAGAACAGAATTTTAACTCTAGCCCTTGCAGATGTATTTGCTAATCCCATTGCAGACCTGAATGTATAACAAGATATTTGGAATCTTTTCCGTAAGATGCAATTATATCGTTTTCTCTCTCTTCCATTCAGCTTCTGAATTGCAATTTTTTAATTTTTAATTTTCTTTGTTCTGCATAATTCCCCTCAGCCACAGTCCTTGCTTGTAAGAGTGGTAAGCAACTCATTATACTTATGACTGCAGGAATCCAACAAATGACTGAAAGTCTCCCCCTTGCATAGCTTAGAAATAACAGTGGTAGTAGCAGTAATAACATGCAATTAATGTACTGAAAATCTAGAGAGGACAGAGAAATTAGTATGTGCATGCAACCACTAGAGAAAGAGGAGTTCTGGTGTGATCAAAAGGTATATCAGGCTTTGCCACCATTTTTGAGTATAAGTACCTGTCAGATATGGGAGGGTAAGTAAAAGCTGTATTCAGAGCTTCCACATCACTTTCTCCTTTTTATGCTTCATATTCCATTGCTTAGTACCTTGCAAGTGTGATAAATGAAGGTCATGAATACACATGAGGCTGTGAATTACTTCATTATGGGGACTAGCAAGGATCAAGACCAATTTCCCTGTTGGATCTAGAGAGTAAGAGCTCTTCAAACCAAACCATACAAACAAATAGGGGATGGAGCTATGGGGAGCTTAAACCATGCAGACAGCTCGTGTCCCTCAATTTGCATAGCCTTGCTTTGAAACATTGATTGGAGCATTTAAGCCATCCTGAGCACTGTTTGACAGACATGTTTAGTTTCCAGCAAACTGGTCTGCTGCACAGCTGTCCTCTGCAGAGGTGACAGTTACAGCGAGGTATTGTTTCCAATTTCTCTCTCCCAGTTTGTGCTCCTCCTTGGGAATAGAAAGATCCCACTCTGAGAGGTGGGAGAACAAGTATCAGAAGGGAAACCTTTAAGAAGGAGTGTAAATAAAAATTCCCCTCTACATCTGTGGGTTCCAAATTATTTACATTAAACTCTCATTTAGAGCTTAATGGCCACTTTTCATAGCACCACATCTCACAAAATGCAAGACTATGTGAACATACCTGTAAAGTAATATGGCAGAAAATGAGCTTTGGAGGCTCATTCTTTTCCATCAAGAAAATATCAGTGGCTATTTAAATATTCTGGAAATCTAATGAAAGCTTGCCTCTGATAGTAAATACTATCAGTACAGTTTCTTTATGGAAATTACCAGTCAAATTTCTGCATGGTTGACAGAGCATTCCAGTGACTGAGCATATTAATCAAAGCAGCAGCATAGCACAGGAAGTCAGCTGCATCAGTGGGACCTACTGCCAGGTTCAAAGGCTGCTCTTAGCAGTCCTTCATGTACACACCAAGCCAAGAGGAGCCTATCTGCAGCCCCTTGCTGGGATCTTACAGTACAGTGAGAGAGAAATTGTCCAGAAAATATCCATTCATAGAACTTGGGAGGATCTTGCTTCATTTAGCACCGTTTGGCAACACTGCCTTTGTCTGACCATATCTGTGCTACGGAACCAATACAACACTGTCTCAGATGACAAAATGACAACTTGTCTGAAGATCTATCAGGTGTTAGAGAAGGCAGAGTGAGGAGAGCTGTCTTCATCCCATCTGATCCTCTCCTCCTGAGCTGCTGATTGCTGCTGTCAGCAGAGGTGCAAGTGAAGAGAACTGCAGGCCTCTTGCCTAGGTTCATTTAAGATAAATTGTTGAAAGAATTTTAAAGATATTTTTGAGTCTAGCTCCCAGAAAACAGCCCCTACTTTCCTTTCCCTCCAAAATAAAATTATTCCAAATGCAAGTACTTGAACTAGAGGCCTTATACTGTAAATATACACTAGTCAGGTGCATATGTCAGAAAGGAAAACAAAAGCTACTGTGTATTGTGGGCTTTAGTCTGCATTTACTGAATTAAATGCCAAATATTTCTTTGAAGTAAAGGGTAAGATGATCCAGGCCACTGCTTTTGAAGATATCATCTGAAGATACCACCTTGTGGCATTTTAAAAAATTAAAGCCAAATTCTTTTCAAGCAGGCAAAATAATTTTGTGCCATACTTCACCTGTATAATTTAAAGTGAACAGGCTTAAATTTGCTTTTGCATACACTCAACTGTGTGAAGCTTTTCTCAGTAGTATAGTGGTATCTTTGAACTTCCCAGGTTCTCAGTAGGCTTCCCTTTAAATAAATATAGAAAATATGATCAGATTTTTCTCTCTTACATGAGGAGCCTGAATATGGCTCCTTCCTTCAAATCCTATTCATATTAAAAATATCTGTAAACATGTGTAGCTTTTTTAAAAGAAGTGGCACAAAACCCTTCCTTGTTTCCATTTATCCCAGTGCATTAGTGACCATGTGAGGCACCATGGTGTGCCCAACACGTCTTCTTCATGTACACAGCATTCACTGACTCGATCCCTCTGAGCCTTGCTCTTTTATTTCAGAGCTCTCTTGTTGCATCTCATTCCTTAATGGTTTGGAACTAGAGCAAAAAATATTCTAAATTGCCAAGTTACTTCTATCAGTAACCCATGCTCCCGTGCTTCTAAAGACTAATCTTAATAAAACTAATTGTCCCTTTGGTAATAAGTTATAACTAAGGACTCAAACTTTTTGACCTAAAAAGATCTGCACTGAAATTGTGCTGTCTGGGCTTTGAGGTATAACCTCAGAGCTGAACCTCATTTGGAATTTGCCCCCCCCAAAGATGTCTGGAGAGGTGAAGTCAAGTTGAATAAATGAAGTTTTTAAGACTTAAAGATAAACCTTAGATGTGATATCTTTCAAAATTCTGACCCCAGATGAATCAGATAAAACTCCTGGAATGGAAGCAATGTGGCTTTATTCATTCAGCTTTTAAAAAGTTAGACACAGCTAACATCAACTCTGGAAGCAATTAATTTAACCCAGTAATTAAAAATGTTTAGGTCATGTATCTCAGAGACTAAAAGGTTGTGATTTCATGAAGCTTGTCTTTAGAAATCTTCAGCTTAGTAATGGAAATATTTCTCTAAGCATTTCAAAATGTAACTCATTGGAAACCTACAATTTACCATTTCATATAGAATCTGTTCTTGGGCAGGCTATTTCCTTAGGCTTTTCCAGTTTTGAGGCCCGTCACTTTTCCCAGTGGATCTCAAGCATAACAACCTTGACACTTTCCTGTTTTCACCTGCAACTCAGCACAAAACTGCAAACTAAGTGGTATCCTGACCCATAGTGCATTCCAAGGAAGGGCAGGTTTCAGCTGATGAGAGATTCTGCCATTCCAGCTGCATTGCCCTAAAACACGCTAGCCTCACAGGCACACACTGGTTGCTGGGGCAACTTTATAAGAGAAAACACAGTAAAACTTCAGAATAATGTAATAGCAAAGGTACTTTCTTGCTGCTGCTTTCCAGGAAGAAGTTTCTCTCCTTTTTGGATAAGCAATCATTGTGCTTCAGCTTCTTCCATTGCCAGGTTACTGATGCAGTAAACAGAGACTCCCAGCTCCTGCAGGACAGTTGCCACCAATCTGCAGCTCTGCTATAGCTCCATGCACAGGTGAAAGATAATCAGAAGACTCAGCTTCTCCATCTTAGACAAGAGAGGAGGCTTCAAAAAGTTACTCCTTCAGTGAAGGCACTGAAGTATCTAATTAACAAGTTATCAGTTTGCACTAGGACTTATATTTATATAAGTTATAAGTATACACTTATATATAGCATGTCTCTGCTCTCTGGTATGAACATTCTGACTGTGCTCTCTCTCTCACAAAGTGAAGGGTGTCATGTGAGGCCGAATTTCCCTGAGCAGAGCTCCCAGGCACCTCTGCATCCAGCAGCGTGCCAGTGCTGCGTCTCAGCCTGCTCTGCCTGCCCAAAGCCAGCAGGAGCTGACACACTCTGGGAGTATCCCCAAGCCTAAGTCCCAGGCAGCATCACAGGCTTAGCAGACACTGCCATCTGCATTCAGAAACATGTCAGAGGAGCCTGAAAGCAAACTTGGTGGGTGTAGCTTTCAGTCAGAGGATCACAACATTCATTTCCTCAGGGATCATGAGATCAGGTTTAGGTCCTGAGCACAAGGGACAGGTCAGAGTCATCACTCCAGACATGCTGTCTTTCAACTTCCCCAGATTTTAGGAGACTTAGAAAAGCTCACCTCTGGAGTGAGGACCCAAACCAAAAAGCTGAAAGCTAGAACTAAACCTCATAGTATAAACACGCTTCTTCTGTAACCAGTAGAGACAAAAGCAAAATTTTCCAAATTTAGTAGGATGCAAGAAATAGAGCAAGTTGCTTTTGCCTTTTGTATCTGGAATTTTTCACTCTGCCTCATTTCTGGTCTCATCTCCTCTGTTTTCCTTCCTCTCACTCTATTTTGTTTTTATTTTTGCTCCCCCAGGTATAATTTCCGAGGCTTCCGCTGGCTCCAGGCTATGATCTTTGCCATAGAAGAAATAAACAGCAGCCCAACTCTCCTTCCCAACATGACCCTGGGATACAGGATATTTGACACTTGCAACACAGTCTCAAAAGCCCTGGAGGCCACATTGAGTTTTGTGGCCCAGAACAAGATAGACTCCCTGAACCTGGACGAATTCTGTAACTGCTCAGAACATATCCCTTCCACCATTGCAGTTGTGGGAGCAACTGGGTCTGGCATCTCCACTGCTGTGGCCAATCTGCTGGGACTCTTTTACATACCTCAGGTACGCTTCCACCTCGCTTGTTTAGGTTACAGAAGTGGCTTGCTTCTCTATTCTGCAGAGATTAAGCAGAGATTGCTTAATTTTCACCATTTCCAATAGAACTTCAAGGAGAGAAATAATAAAATAGGGGGGGTGGAAGGGGGGTGGGTGTCACTGTTATGATAGAAATGTGTCTTGCTAGCACTTTGCAGTCCCCAAATACAAATGTTATTGAGCAGCCATAACAACATTTGGCCAGCAGCAGCATGGTCTAGGAGGACTGGAGTCCTCTAGAGTGGTTGAGTCCGTGAATACAGGTATTTTAGGTCAGTCAATGACAGTTGCCAGCCCTGACAGCTTAGTTGTGTCATCACTTCACAGTAGTGACTCTCTGGTCCAGTCCAGCTCCCACAGAGCCCACTGAAGGCAGAGCTTCGTCATTGCCAGCTGCTCTTTAGGTCTCTCAGCATCTCTGATCATTCAAGTAGGTGACCTGTAAAGTTGTTGCTTTTGCTGATCAGATGCTATGGAGGTTTCTTCTGAGCTAGCCTGCCTTTCTTTTGGCTTAGGGCATCCAAAACGACGTTTGTGAAATCATGTGGATATGCCCTTTGTCCTGAGGTCACCTGTGTGGTGATGTGGTTGTGCCAATTCCTGTGTTGCACATTCTTCAGGCTGCATTCTGACTCTCCTGGAGCCAGTGCCAGCATCCATGGTCCTATCCTTTTGTTTAACAGGCTTGTTGATCTGCCAAGACCTTAAGCAAAGTACAAGCCTAGATTATTGTTGCTTTTGATTTTAGATTCTATATTGAAGTCAGCTTTGGAAAAAGTGTTTGGCCTTATCCATTTAAGTGTTACCTTGTATAGCCTAACGCTTCCAATTCCTCTTCCAAAATTAATTGAGGTGCCAGAGCTCACAAGAGCCCCTATAACAAGATTGTGTCAGAATGTGCTCTCAGTCTGTCCTGAGAAATGTATCTTTGCTTCAGCCAGGGCTCCAATTCCCATCTGCACCACGAATGAAGAAGGAAGGATTCTTGATTGCTCTCTGCACAGTAATATATCATGTCTGTTGAGTCTTATCAGTCTGACTCCTTTGCAGGAGTCTGAAAAACTGAACATTTGGTCTCTGAGCAGGGCAAGAATGGTTTAAGCTGTGCTAACTGGGTATTGACCAGAGTGGCATTGGAAGTTGGCATATAATAAACACCCTGATGACATCTTATGGGACACTGCTGATTTACTCATCACATTACCAGGTGAACAAGGGCAGTCGAGAAGGGTTGGTGAGTTCAACTGAACGTAAGAGATGTTTGCAGTTCTCAGACTTTCTCTTTAAATAGAGAATGACATTTGTCCTATGAGGCAGTAGCCTTATCTTGAGGCTGCAGAAAAGGGTAGATGTCGGGAGGTTCCGTTCTGGAACGAAGTCTCAGCCAGGTCATTGAAGCACGACAACTGAAAGCAGGCTTTTAGACTGGCAGATGTTGAGTAGAATTGTTACAGCCATTTATAGCAAGGCCATTAGCAAATCTAGGTTTACTAGGCCCTACATTTCAGTAGGAGGTGGAGGTGTATTTTACAATTAATGTACGGTTCATTACTCATTCTGTTGATGTAAACACTGAAAATGTTACAACTTCTGTTCTGTTTCTCAGCACCTCGCCTCTGTGTCCCCTTACAGCACATGTGGCAGTGGGACACATTGCCTGTACCTCCTGGCAAAAGTCTGATGGTGTGAGTAGCACTAAGCATGAGCCTGTCCAGGGGACAATACAGCTCTGTGAAAGGAGGATTTACTCCTGTGGCCCATGAAACTGCATTACGAGACCTCCTTTATTTCCTTCTTGCAGAAACATTAAATAACAGAGTTTAAGGAGAAGATAAGGTTTTCTGTAAATTTCCACTTTGCACATAATGAACTGTTTCTAGAAGACTTTTTCAAATGAGAGTCAGTCCTAAAGAATTCAGATACCAATCTCAAAATGTGTTTTAGAAGTTCTCCAGATCTTTAAACTGTTATTATCTGGGATTTATGGTTTTCTTCCTACTTGTAGATAATTCATATTATATCTTAAAAGCATGTGTCACTTGTTCTGATTAGGAAAATAAAATATTTCTTGATAGTTTTAGAAAAGGAAATAAAATCCAATTTTAACTATAAAACATGGTGGCTTATGAAGCATGGACTGCCCACTGGCTTCTTTGCTGATTCTTGCCAGCTGTCAGGAAACACTGCTAAAGCAGCATTACCATAACACTCTGCAGGATCAAGGAAGCTGATACACATTCTTCTTATGTCAACTTACATGGATTGTATATAAAAGACACATAGTGCCTGATGGAGCCTGTTTAAGGAAGGGGATGGATGTCAAAGGCAAGGAGAGAAAGACAGAATAGCTTTGGAATGGCAATACCATCCTGCTGTCTCATGTCCAGTTCAGGACAGAGAAAGCCTGTGTTTTGTCCGAATTCAGTGCATTGCCCTCATTTATCTAGATGGTACATTCATTTTATTTCTGGATTTGACAGAAATTTTTACCATTCCTCCAATGTAGTATCTATTTCTCTCTCCCTCAGATCCTTGACCTTGCAGGTGGGCACAAGCTGGCTCCAGCCTCTCAGGTCCAAGCAGCTGCTCCTGTATGAGTGCCTCTGTAGGACAGGCACAGCTAGAAGAGCGTGCAGGCCCTCAGAGTGGATCACCTGCAAACACGAGCTAAGAAAATGCAGTTCCTAGGCTGACAGTGATGCTAAATGGAGGCAATTTATTTCAGGCATTTCACTTTATGGTGTGTTTTGCTTGTTTGCTGTGCTCTGACAGGTCAGCTATGCCTCATCCAGTCGTCTCCTGAGCAATAAGAACCAGTTCAAGTCCTTCCTGCGCACAATCCCCAATGATGAGCACCAGGCCACAGCCATGGCAGACATCATCGAGTACTTTCGCTGGAACTGGGTGGGAACAATTGCAGCTGATGATGACTATGGCCGGCCAGGGATTGAAAAATTTCGGGAAGAGGCAGAGGAGAGAGATATCTGCATTGATTTTAGTGAGCTCATCTCCCAGTACTCAGATGAAGAGGAGATCCAGCAAGTGGTAGAGGTCATCCAGAACTCCACAGCAAGAGTGATTGTTGTTTTTTCCAGTGGCCCAGATCTGGAGCCTCTCATCAAAGAGATTGTCAGGAGAAACATCACTGGCAAGATCTGGCTGGCAAGTGAGGCCTGGGCCAGCTCTTCTCTAATAGCCATGCCAGAGTTCTTCCGTGTCATCGGCAGCACCATCGGGTTTGCACTGAAGGCAGGACAGATCCCAGGCTTTCGTGAGTTCCTGCAAAAAGTGCATCCCAAGAAGTCCACCAACAATGGCTTTGCCAAGGAGTTTTGGGAGGAGACATTTAACTGCTATCTCCCTGAAGGATCAAAAAATTCTCCTGCTTCCACTTCCTTCCATAAGGGCCATGAAGAGGGGCTGGGAGCTGGAAATGGAACATCTTCCTTCCGACCTCCATGCACAGGGGAAGAGAACATCACTAGTGTGGAGACACCATACCTGGACTACACACACTTGCGGATATCCTATAACGTGTACTTGGCAGTGTATTCCATCGCCCACGCCTTGCAGGATATTTATACCTGTACCCCTGGGAAGGGACTCTTCACCAACGGGTCCTGTGCAGACATAAAGAAGGTGGAGGCATGGCAGGTAAGCCCTTCATTCGTGTGCCTGTGCAATATACCTGCAGGAGGAAAAACAAGGTGCCCCAAATGCCCTTTAGGATGCCTTTCATAATCCTAGGTCTCAGGCACAGCATGAGGCTCCTGGAATGCAGTGTGTGACTGTGTCTGAGGTAGGTGCATGCTCTCACCCCACAGGGAATGTAAGGTAAGTTGGGCTAGGCCTGCAGTGAAAGGGCCTTAAACCAGGTTACATTTTCTTGCATTTGCTGCAGGCCAAAAGTGCATACACAGACAATTACCACAGCCTGGCTGATGCAAGGTAACTTGATCATATATTGAGCCTAACATAAACAAGAGGCCCTGGGAAGAACACATAAACAAAGAAAACAGCTTTTAGAGTTCATTTTCTTTGCCAAGTTTTATATCTTTTGCGATCCCACAGCAATTTTCCATACAGGCTGTATTTTTTCCCTCACAGTTTTAAGCTTCTATAGGATCCAACTAAAGAAGACTGAGTAATGAAGAAAAATAATGTGTGGCTCTTGGGCAGAAAATAGATAGCTGCTTTGATTTGGCAGTGGTATTTGTGAACTGATGAAATTATACTAATGACTTAGTCCCATTTACCCATTCATTCAATGCATTCTGCCCACTGGCACATGGATTGCATTCTGCATTTTGTCTTCTGATCCTTTATGAATATTCTCTACCTTACTGTGTGTTTAATCATGCTATTCAGTGTGGTATTCACTTTGTGGTTTTAATATCTACTGCATTCTCAACACAACCAGCATGGGCTATCAAATGATGATACGTCAAATATGTAGCAAGTTCTATCTGCCTCATTCTGGTTGTCACAAAATGCTTGAACCCAAACATGCCTGAAATCAGCACAACACAGGTGAATAAATAGAGGATCACCTCTCCATTTGCATGGGTGTTTTCCTCTCTTTGAGACAGTCTAACCAAAACAAAGGCTGTCCTTACCACAACCTGCAGATGTCAGGTCACATTCACATGGGTACTGCAGTTTGGTTCCTGTCTAGTCTCAGTTAGCTCAAAAACATCAGTCAGATCAAAGTAAAAGGCTTTGTCTTGGCGCTTATGAGAAACTTGCACTGCTCTAGGTGCCTGAATAGGTTTATCAAAACCACTTTACTTGGAATTGATGAGTGCAAGGTTTGACCCTGATTTAGAGGAATCCTGCAATTGCTGTTTGTCTCCAAAATTTCTGTCTTTCAAAGCTATTCCATTTTTCAGGAAAATACTGGCAGAAATAGGCAAGTCACAGACAGATTTAGCTCCCACTGTTGACAGTAAAAATTATCCAGAATAAATGTAGGTTAATTCATTCCTTTATGCCTTGTCAGCTTGGAAAGTAAATCTGAATATTCATGCCATTCCTAAGTAAAAAAATGTGTTTGTTGAAGTTTTCATGGTTGGGAAGAATGACCTCTCATTTCTGTGTTGCTTGTCGGGTGCTAATGGACATACACATCAAAATGCAAAGCATCCTGCTGATCTAGGCATTTGGATATACATACCTGCCTGACAGAAGGGAATCAGAATCAAGAAGGAGTATGTAGAGAATAACCCCACTGGGCAGGGAGTGCTACAAAGGAACAGGTTATACTTATAATGACTACAGTCATATGGTGGCTTTCAGGCCAACTTGTGCATTTTTTCACTTTGTTTCAAAATCAAACACATGAATAGCAGGTAAATGTCAAATTTGTGTGCACACCTACTTCATACCAGGCATTGCAGCTCATTACCTTCAGGAAGCTTTCCTCAACCCTGGGAGTAATGAGTTCACTTCACAAACATGCAGACTCCAGCATTTCCAGAGTGGTTTTCTGTCAACCAGACAGAAGAAAATCTTTCTAGTAAAGTCAATCTCATTTGCAGTGGAACTTCTGTCAGTGTTCACTGCCTGCTCCCTTTCTCACAGTCAGATCAGGGTTTTCTTGATGGGAAGTGACCTGAGAGAGCAAGGATAGTGTTAGGAGGGCCCCGTACCTGTGACTGGAGGGCAGCTGCTCACGGTGTGTGCAATTACTGGCCAGATGCTGTGTGCTACAGATAAAGTGAACCTGCTGAACTTTTGGCTCCATTAGCCTGAGCTCCCGTCCAGAGCAGCCCTTGTCAGCAGGGGCGGTGGCTGGGGAGCAAAAACAGTACATTCCACAGTTTAATTATGTACCATTTAATTTTGTTCCTTTCCAATGGCATTATCCTATTAACACGTATGAGTTTTTATTGCTGTTGGCTAATTGCTAATTTTATGTACTTATAACGCAAATCTTTTGGGGGATGTGTTTTGTATTATTTGTGGAGGGTGCCTGTGTGGGTCCGTATATAAACCCAGGATTTTTACCTCAGTGATCAGTTCATTGGAAATGGACAGCCTAGCACAAATCACTGTCAGTTGGTTAAACTGAGTGAAGTTCTCCTATTAAGAATTTACCATTTACAGTTTAAGAAGGCTCTAGGTGTGTTTCAGCATGAGAAGTGGAGGATTTTTGTCTCCTAAGGTGAAATATCAAATACTACCAACTTTCACATTTACTTTTTTTATAGCTACTTGTTTAAGAAACTGTTTGCTCATCTTCTCCACCTGGGTCAGTGATCTGTGACAGATCCTGTCCATAAAGCCAGTCTTGCTTCCTTTTGTTTTACCAGTGCCTCTGAAGCTGGCTATGAGCATTCCCAAGTGGAGGTGGGACTGGCTGGCCCAAGCTGTCCAACTGCCCAGCATGTGCAGAGATGCAGGCACAGGCAGATCTGGTGGGCAGACAGGACAGCTTCCAGGCTGTGCCCAGAGGAACCTGTGCCACTCATTCCACATACAGAGCTGGCCAGGGAATTCAGAATCTTTTATCTGAAAATGGAGCAGCTGGCGCTTCAGAACTCTGTAGAAAATAGCAGATTTTATTAGGATGTCTCTGCTGCCCTTATTCTGAGCGATCTGAGCTGTCTTGTTTTAAGAATCTACGCTGCTGCAAGGCAGAATATAATCGAGGTGCACACCTTTGCAAGATGCCTGCAAAGGGCAGACAGTATTGTCTGCATGTGCCAGTGTTGTGTCCTGCACAATATTAAACAAGATCAGATCAATTACTTCTTTTTGCACTGTTTTGTTCAGGCAACAAAATGATGCAGGACAATCCCAAACAAAATATATAAATTCTGTCACTTTGGAGCAAGGCAAAATTTTACAAAAAGCACTAAGAATTAAAGTGTATGGGTACAAATAGTACAACAGAAAAAATCTTCCTAAAGGTTTCCAATACCTCTGGCTGTCAGAAGACCATGCTCTTCTGTTGGGGGATTGTGACTTTTTAGGAGACTCCATTAAGTAGAGCTAATTCTGTGCGTTGCTCTGGTTTGTGGACTTGCCTACCCCAAACACGGGCTCTCCCATAAGCTACAGAATGGAAATGGGAAGTTACAGCAACAGGTGGGATACGGGCTGGGAACTGCTGTACTACTCTTTGTCAAAATTCCCTGTGGTTTTGGCCTGTTTCTCCATAACTGCTTTAACAGTCTGGTTTTGAAGCCCTTTTTTCTTAATATCTTCCCTGATAAGATTTCTCAAGTTCCTCAAGTTCCTTAATTTTCTTAGTCAAATAGCTGATGAGGCTATTTCTGTGGTCACTTCTAGGAAAAAGCCCATCTGTTCTTTTTTCAGTTTCCCTCTGAGCATTTACAGGAGCCTCTCTGGTGTCTTGCTACAAACACTACGTGGTCCAGCAAAAAGATAGGAAGGGAACTAATAGGAAATCCTAATCTGTCCTTCAGAGCAAATATTTCCTGCTTCATATTATTACTGTGTGAGAAGATGAAAGACCTGTCTTTTCTTCAGACTGAGGTCACTTAGTTTCTGCCCATTCATTTGGATTCTTGATGAGCAGCTGCTGGACCTCTGTGTCTTACAGTAAAAGCATTGTGATTAATGGGGAAGGCAGGCTCCCAAGGATCTGAGAAGGCAAAGGTGTGCAGTCACAGGGTCATTGAGCAGAGCATCTCTGACTCCCAGACAATTTGCAGGTTGCTGTTACACTGGAGGCTTTGAACTTTGGCATGAGTGGAAAATAAAAGTTCTTCTAGGTACCAAGGCAAAGCACAGTGCAAGGGCTGAAAAATGTGTTGTGCTAATGAGTCGCAGGTTAGAGACATGCTTATGTGTATTATTCTATGCCTGGAAATCTGACTGACCTCAGACTCAGTGAAAAGTTGCCATATGCTGTTCCCCAAAATAAAATACAAATTGGCTTCACCTAGCAACACCTAAAGTCTTTTATTGCACTTGTGCACCTCCCAGCCAACAGTTCCTTCCTCAGTGCTGGTGATGGGCATAGTGAAGAGGTAAAAATGGATTGGTGCCTTCTCCAGCTTTACATTTAGCATGTGTGCCTGGCTGGAAATTGATTGGGCAAGGCTTTAAAGAAGTAAATAATGCCTGAGATGACATAGACCTTTGAGCCTAATGACTTATCTAATCAATTTTTGTGCCTATTAAACTAAAGGCCTGTCTGAACATTTAAAACCAGCTGTTTTGTGGTATACAGAATTAAACAATATCAGAACAGCTATCAGCTATGGCTGGAAAAATGGTGGAAAATGGTGGGAAAAGTTAGTCACCTGGGAAGAATCACAAGGAAAACAGAGGAAACTGTTCAATGTCAGGCAACTGCAAAACCTTGTCTACTCTGCATTACAAATGGACTGGAGATATATTTGTCGTGAACAGAAGGCAAGAGGTGTGCCTGGGTTGTGGGAGACAATTGAGAGGGACACAACTTGAGCCACACACAGAAGTATGGGGGTCAATAGAGCAAACATAGCTATTTACCCACCAGGGCAATAACAGACAGTTGCTTATTCATCAGTTTGAAGATAACAACTTGCTATCAGCTGAGAGCACCAAATAAGCAGACAGTAGATGGTGTATTATTTAAATATCTCTACAGCTAAAAGGAAAAAGACTTAACTGGACTCACCAGTAGAAAATGTGCTGGGAAG